GCGCACCGGAAAGGGAGGAGCTTCCTCCGCCACCACCCGGCTTCTGCTCTCCCGCTAGGAGGACGCACGCACGCACCGGAAGTCTGCCCTTCCCCCTCCAGGAGGCGGTCTCTCTCTCTCTCGTTGGCCGCCCTGCCTCGCAAGGGCCCATGGGAGTCGTAGTCTCCTCGGGCTCTGAAGGCAGCGGCGGCGGAGGTGGGACCCTGCCGCCGAGGCTGCCCTCTAGCGGGGTTTCGTACACGCACATTTTCCGTCTCTCTAATCATGAAACGGATGGGAATGATATGAGACAAAAAAACACGTCCTGGTAGTTTTGAGTCGGTTTCTGTTAAGGCTTAAAACACACAGAAAAAATCAGGTTCAAGACAGGTAGCATTTAAACCGGTGGCTGCCTTGCCATCCATTGAATGGAAATCGATGTATTTCCGATTTGAACCAGTTTGGGCTTCTTCTACACTCACTTCCACAAAACCACATGGAGCTTTGATTTTTTTATTTATTTGCAGGGGGTCAATTGGAGATTTTGTATCAGGAACTCCACCTTGTAGTTTGTGTGGAGTAACTGGAAATGACAACACTAAACAATTTAATAAAATGAATCAGCCTATTCCTTTGGAAACACAAGCCAAATATTTTCTCTGGAGCTAGCAAGTAAGTAGCCTTCGAGAGCAAGGAAAACACCAGTGCTCAAGGCTGTGGCAACAGAGATTTCCTATAATTCTATTTCTTCTATTTTAGTGATGGATGGGGGTTGGGGTAATTAAATAGGAACATTCAAGTGGTTATTATAAGACTTAATAAGATTACAGTCAAGCCATTTGGACACTGAAGCACTAAAACTAAATACTGTAGGTTAATTATTTTAGACCAACAGAAATAATCAGATTACAGAAAACCATCCTTAATAAGGACAAAATCATTTAAATCTTTTCCTCATACAGTATACGTATTTGTGCTTTCTTGTCTAGGAGAATGATTTCACTTGCACTGCAACCAGATCCACATTTCTCAGAAGTTGATCCATGATGGCTTATAATTCCCAGGTAAGTGTGGATCGGATCGCCGCTTCAATCATTCCAATTAACAGGCTTAACCACCCACAGAGGTTTTCTCAAAAGAGCCAGCCTCCCATCATCTCTGAACTCAAAAAGACATTCTTGCTAACAGCAGGAACATTACAAGCAAAATAATTTATTCCACTTCATTTGTTTTGCAAAACCGGACTCCCCTGAACTGGGATAGGCTAGTACTTTGCGGGACCGGGAGAATATATTTCTGTTAAAGTTTCCTAAAATAGTGTTTGTTCTTTTTGCAGTATATCACACCATCAGCTCACAAGCAGCTTGTGATCTACAGCCATTCCAAGATCCTTCTTGCTTGCAGTATTATCAAGGGAAGCATCTCCCATCTTACCTTGTAACTGTACATTCGATTTTTTTCTTCCCTAGGTGTAGAACTGCGCACTTATGCACATCAAATGTCAATTCTGTTTTCAGCCCAGTGTTTGAGACAATCAAGATTTTTTTAAAATTTTTTTGTTTCTTTCTTTTTACAGGAGTGACCACCTCTAGAGTTTCACACAGGTTTTAAGAATACAGCTTGAAACTAAAAGTGATCTGGACCCTTAGATTCCATCATCTATATTGTTGCAATTTGCTTGTTTATTATCAAAATCTGGTGTTCAAGGTGGCTTACAAAATATTTGGTAAAACCAACATTCAGCTAAAAACTCTAAAAAATTATACAAACCCGCCCCTTTATAAAACCATAAAAATCAAACAAAGCACATTAAAAATCCATTAAAATTACAAAGGATACAGATTAAAGAAAGGGGGGTTTAATTGAGCATGTATGGTGCACACCATGTCACTTCCAACATACTGTCAGTGCTCAATTTCTGGGTTAAAGAATACGAAAAGGCCAGTCACCATTAAAAGAAATAATCTCCGTGCACATGTTACATGATTAGGAACCTGTCGAATCAGGTCACTTGAACAGGAAGCAAAAGGTAGAGGGGCAAGAAACATATTACAATATTTTATGCCATTTAGGGAAAAATTCCCACCCAGAGACCCAATAAGGCCTACAGGTGTTTTTCTGAGTAGCTTGCCAGCTTCTTCTAGAGGCCTTATTAGCACCCCTTGTCAGGTAGGAAAAAGACAAAACTACAGCAGGAAATTCACTGAGGGCAAGGCCTTATTAGCACCCCTTGTCAGGTAGGGAAAAGACAAAACTACAGCAGGAATTTCACTGAGGGCAAGCAAAGCGCGAGATCTGTCTTCCCTCAGCAACTCAGGGGGGGAAAAAGCAACCGAAAGTCAGGATGCGAGAAGCAAAAGAAAAGTAGGTGAACTGACAGCACCTACTCTGAGGAGTAGAGTAAGGGCAAGTTTGCCTTAGTGATGTCACAGATGGGTGCAGAGTGCAAGAACGAAGAAATATTTCCTCAACAGAACTTGTAGAAAGTGGATAAATGCAAGAAAAAGTGCAAGGTTAGACTCTTCTAGCCTGAAACTATGCACACTTGCTTGAAAGCAAGTCCCGTTTATTCAACAGGGTTTACTCCCAAGTGAGTGCATATGGAATTCCAGCTGTCAAGAAAATCTTAAAACATCGTGTTGCCTTTTAAAACACATGCATCTTTTGAAAATCAGATTTGCAGCAAAGTATTGAAAGTGAAGAGAGGCTGAAATGTGGATAAACAGAACAACTGAAACCATCTCTGAAAGAGTGTACAACAGTCGCGCCGAGTCCACAAGGATCGCTTGTCCACACTTGTGTTGGGAAAAAAGCAAAGGAAAAAAGTGTTTGCTTTATATACGGCCCCATGGTGCCAAAAACCCTCTCTGGGCAGTTCACAATCCAATTACGCAGGCTACAGATTCTGAAGCACCATGTAACTTTGCTAGCGTAGCTGTTTGGGCTACCACCATTCACACACCAGTTGGACGCAAAGAGCATGCAGATCTGTCTATAAGGGTCAGGACTCAATCCTCCAGCTTTGAGAGGGGATATTTGTTTTACAGATATCAACTTTTCCTCAATTCGAAATAAAAAAGTAGTAGTAAAAGGTTAAGATGGGCACCCATGTTTGCTCCGATGGCAAAGCAATCCATGTTGGCACTTTGGGCAACTGTGTGGTGAACTTCTTTCCTCTGTGTCCCAAGCTGTCCTTTGACCCCCTTCGGCTGCTTCTCCGAGCAGCAAGTTCTCAGTGGTGCACTCTGCACAGGAGGGGACCCTTCTTTGCAAAGGGATCCTTTCAGAAGCGTAAATACCGTCCAGCACACACCGCTTCCTCCCTTTCTTTCGGAACCATGCTTAGTCCGGGAAGCGGTCTCTATTATCATGTTGTGCTAACTTGTCCTTTTCAAATTCCATCGCAATCTTTAAGGCAGTGGTGTTCAGGGAAACAGACTGCATGTTACAAATAACCGTGACAACCACACCACGGGGTGGGACCAGAGAGACCCCGTTGGCAGCCTGAGAGTCCAATTCTTCAGGAAGAATGAGCAGCACACTGCTGGCACCCACCGCTCCACCGGTGTGGGAGGTGTAGTGTCGCTGGCGCCGGCAGAAGCCGCACTCCTGCTTGTTTTCCACAACAAGCCACGCCATCCCGTATTTCCCATCCTTGTCCCAGGAGGCCTCTGTGTTTGGGACGGCCGTCCACATCATGGCTGTGGTGCTGGGCTTGAGGTAGCCAGGGAGGAGTCCAGGGGGAAGCTTTTCCCACAGGCCAAGCTGATAGCCATACAGCATGGCGTTCCCAAATTTAAGGAGGTCGCCCACCGTGGAGAGGAAGCCGCCCCCAGCCCACTTGTAGGAGTTGTCCACGTAGGGTGCGTTGACAAGCCGGCCTTTTTTGTTGTGAATGTAGTATCTGGAAGCAAAAGCGAGAAAGCCTGGTCAGGCACACAGAAAAAGAAGTGCCTACTCAATGCATGTGTGCCTCACACCCACCAGGTGGGGGCGGCAGGTGCAGCCAATTCAGGGGCTGGGGTTGCAATGTGTCTTTGGTCTTTCTTCAGAGATTAATTCATTGATCTGGCAACTCCAGTGGAGAGTCTCCTTTGGAAAGACTGTCCTCTGAGTTGCCCCGGCACTCCTTTCTCCACTAAAAGTGAAACTAGGAGAAGCCCAAGGGTGTTTCTGCAGAAGCAGCGTGTTCTCTCTGCCCTTTCCCCTATGATTTATATCCAGCTAACACTGGAACACCTCAGAGTGACCACAGGTGTTTGAGTGGCAAATGTAAATAAAATATGGTGGAGGGAAAATTCATCTAACAAAAGTGCTCACAAAGAAAATAAAAAGACACTCACTCCCCCAAGCCTTGCTCCTAAAAATGCCACTTTATGCGAGCATGAAAATCCACAGGAACCACAAGGTGGCAGTGCTCTTTGGTTTTAGACATCACCCCCAGTGGTGCAGAGGTACCACACCGCACCTCTCCCCATCTTTCATGTGGGTTAGAATCCTGTCCTCTACCCATTTTATTTTATAATGTTCTATGGCCAGAACTATCTCTGATAAGGCAAAAGTAATCACAGTTACTGCCACAGAGGCCAGAATGCAAAGATGAACTTCCACTGGATCCCACTGCTTTCATCACAAATGTGTGAGCCCCACCCACCCACCTTCAGCTTCTTACGCCCCCTAAAACCTTCCTCCAAAGGAGTGCTCCTGTCGCTTCTGCCCATTCCCTGATTCATTCACTCCTGATTGGTGAAATATAGAGAAAAGCCAGCTGAGTGGGTGGTGCTGGAAAGCGGGAGGGGCACATCAAAACAAGCCCTTTGCAAGGATACTGAGAAATGGGTGGCACTGTGTTGGCTGCAGAGATAGAATCAATACCCCGCCGAGTCATGGGCCACCACATGGAGGATTCTGTTGAGCAAGTCATGGGACTGGCAGAAACAACTGCAAGAACACAAGACTGACCTCTTGGAGGAAATGAGAGCAACAGTGCCCACATATTCTCCAAAGTTACATTTATGTTCCAAGCCAGCCCTCATCTTGGAAAGAAACAACATTTGTGGCATAGCTAGCTGCACTGGACCGGTTACGGGCTTCCCACCAAAAGCCATGCCATGTCTGAATTTAGTTACAATTCTGGGTGATGTGTGAGCAGTTACTGACCCAGCAGGTGATACACCTATAGGCAGGGAAATGTAGCTCTTTTGAATCCTAGCCCCAGGTCAGTTCATTAATCCCACTCAGAAAATCCCGATCCACTAGCAGCAACACTGCAGTACCTCTACTGGATCGAGTAGCAGCTAGGAACCAAAAAAGAGTGAGGTGGTTAATCTGTTTGCAGAGAGAGCTGTCTGTGGAAACAGACCGACTACAACAACCTCGCTCTCTTTTCGTTCCTAGCTGCTACTAGATTTATTGACACCGCTGGCGTCTAGACCGCTGCGAAGATTCTGAACAGTGCATTTTTATCTGCTCAAAATGAATGAGCAGCAACTCTGGCAGGCTTGTAGGATGCGGCTGCACAGCTGTCTACCTGGCTCTGTTGTACACCAGGGGCTCATTTTCATCCAGTCCTGTCATCATCATATCCAGGTCACGAAATATTTTCAGCATGTAGTCTGTGAATTTCTGGCCCGAGGCTCTCTCCACAACAGCACTCAGCAGAGTAAATCCATGAGTTGAATACAAAAACTGACTACCTTAAAGAAAGGAAAGGAGGGGGGAAAAAACAAGTTTTGTTTTTACACTTTGTTTTAACAAATATACACACTGGGTTGTGCTGATCTATATTCCACTTTGTGTCTTAAAGGGCCGGCCTACTAAGGTTGTGATGATGTGAGGTTTGGAAAAAAAGCAACTTGCTTTTTTAGACTGGCTCCAAGTCTAAAAATGCACACTGACCAATTTCCCCACAATTTTACACAGACTTGTATAAAATGCAATATAACAACCTGTTTTCTTGCCAATGCATTTAGCATGGTATAAAAATTCCTGAGATTTAGATATTTGGAATGTAATTTAGGAAGGTGCCTCAGGTAGAAAAAAAACCCCACAAAAACCCACTAGCCCTGCTGACACGGACTGGCAGCCGCAGCTCTTCCAAGGCTGAAGAGGAAAATGCCTTTCGGTTCTGATCAGACATGCCGGAAACGGGCACTCTGGGATTCTCTACCTACCTATAAAGCAAAACTCTGCCCAAAGGCTACAACCCTTTCTCCTCCTCAGAGACACAGATAACGTATAAGGAGAGAAGAGCACATTTTTAAGAGGACAAAAACAGTCTGGAAATAAAGATACATCTCTTGATGGAGATGGTAAAGAATTCCGTAGAAAAATTATGGATGGATACATTTATACCTAGCTTTTCTCCCAAAGACCTTGTTAAATCAGGCTACTACTGAAGTCCAGAACAAAACAAAATTGCATTCCAAGCTGGTTTTTTTTTAAGTCAGCTGCAGAAGCAACTGAGCTATGACCGCTGCCACTTAGCATGCTGATTAGACATCCGGAGCAAGCGCCCTGTGTCAAAGGGGCAAGTCACTCACCTGGTTTAAAGAAGAGTGGGTCATTTTTAAACATATTCAGTGAGTCTATGACATTATCAAATTTTTCCTTCAGGTAATATTCCTCCTGGTCAAACTCTTTTTTCTTCCTTCCGCTCTTGGCACGGCCGCCTTCCTCTTCCGGCCCCCCTTTTGCTGGGGGGCTCCTTTCAGAGCCTTTGTCTTCCTTCTCTTTCTGGGTCGATCTGGCGGCATCGTCTGCAGCTTTCCGAGACTTGTTTGCCTTTTCCTTTTCCTCCTTAACTTTGGAAACGTCCTTCTCATAGTGGCGAATCCCACTTAAATGAGAAGCCAGCAGTCTGGTCGTAATGGTGACCTAGGTTTTTTTTTGAAAACGGGACGGATTCAGAATCACCGAGGCATTATATCAAATAAAAGCTGCAAAGAGTGACGGGCACCTTACGGGTTATCACATTTATTATGTGCTGCAAGTCGTTATCAATATCCAGTACCTGAAGCAGGGCAGCAGTTAAGACTTGTGGAAGATAATCGGCCAACTAGCAACCCCATACAAGTTAACAGGTCACTGCCAGTTATACTGCTGGATAGAGGCCTTCGCCCCCCAAAAATACTTTCCCCTAGTGTGGAAATAAACATTTCATCCTGTTTTAACAAGCATTTAATTTATTATCCATTTTGTTTTTAAAAAAATAAGACTCAGTACTTAATAAATACCATCAAGACTCTGCAGAATATTTGAGCATGGCCTTATTTACCTTTTCACCTTCATATTCTTTCTCAGGAAATTCTGGAACATAGTTCTGCACTGGGGCATCTAAATCCAGCCTTCCTTCTTCCCACAGTTTTAAAACAGCAACCATCGTCAGCGATTTGCTAATGCTGGCAATGCGGAAGATGGTTTCTGGCTTGCAAAGCACACGGTTCTCTACATCAGCGTAACCCAGACCTTTAAAATAATAAGCAGACAACTGCTCAGTGATGTTCTGTCCAAGGAAAGGCTAACATTCTGTGAAAATCAGCACTGCCAGTTTACAGAGACTCTCCAAAGCAGCTCTCCTCCCTTCTCCATAGACAGTGGGCTCCGGTAGCAAAATGTTTGGCTATGGCACTGCAGTTTCTCAGGAAATACTTATCATTTATCACCAGGATACGATCAAGGGGCCAACAGGCAACACATGGGGCAAGCCTGCATTTGCCTGGTGTTTAGATGAGGTTACTTAGGCCAGGAAGACAGACTGGCCACTTATGTGAGCTGTGAAGGGTAGGATTGGAATGACACTAGACAAACGCGGCCCATATAGCAGCATATAGGTATCTAGCAGTCATATAAATATGGAAGCTATTTATAGTCTTAATTGGAAAGAGCAAGGGAAGAGTTAAAACAGAGGCAAATGTATGAGTTGCATTTAAAGCAACAAAGAGATCTGTGCCACCGATACAGATAAACATATTTAGTACGTCAAAATAAATAAGCATAGATAAACTTTAGTAGCCCTGGCCCATGTCACCAGATGCATGGAATATTATGCATGGTTAACAGGGCTATTTCCACAAGCTTTGGCTGGGGTAATGAGTGGGAGTGGAGGCAAAGGAGACCCGTCCGCAGTGAGGCCATAGGAAACTGACACGGAGAAGTATAGACCGTCATCATTTAAACCACAGCCAGCACCAACAAAACTGAAAACAGACAGGATGCCCTGACATAACATGTCATGGGTCTGTGAATCATCGTCTTGAATATTATCGTCTATACTTTTATAATAAACCCAATCCTTTGACAAGGTTAAGCACTAACAGATCGTGACATACCCTCGACATCACTCACCTTCAGACCACACTTCTTTTCCATCCACAGAAACACCCACCACTATTCCGGGGGCTCCGACTTCATCCTGTCGGAATAAAATATATAAGTTCAGAGGGTTGAGCCTTCCTGGACCCGAGGAAAGGAGTAAAATTGGCACAAGCTTTCACAGGCTAGTTCACTATCACTGAGTTCACCCCCTCGGCATGTTGCCCCTTAAATTCTGTAATGGGGATGAAGTAAGAAACAACATTTTTGGGGGGGGGGAATTGTAAATGTGACATTTTCTGGGCAAGTGAAAGAAACTATTTTTGCACCATACTCGGCAATTGATGGCCCTTTTTTCTCTTGAGGAAATGTTCGACCCTTTAGTGCTTTGATCATTTTTACATACAGTATTTGCCAAACAGAACAGAGAGAATATTTAAATAAATATATCTCACAGGATTATCTCTCTCTC